TCATTCTCCATTTATGGCCTGGGTTCCAAGCAGAATGGGTAACCAATAAAACATTCATAAAGCAGCCCCGGCGCAATTCGCCCCCCCCCCACCCCCCCAGGCCGTAGGCCAGCCGGCCACAGGGGTCCTGCTGCGATCCTGAGCCGCCAAACGTACCTGAAGACCAGGGCCCCACAAGCTGCCAGGAGAGCCGGAGGCTGCTTTATCCAGGACCTGGGTGAGGAAGGTCTCCGCCCATGGATTACACCACGCCCCGCTGGCTGATGGGAGCCAGCAGAAGTGTGCGGGCCGGAAGCTCCGCCCACACAGGCCGCCCACTCCGAAGGGCCTCCCCCTCCCCCCAGCCTCCAGCGAGGTTAAGGCGTGGCTGCAGCAACGCCTGGGCTAGGCAACTCCATCCCTGGCCACTGCTCTGGCCAAAGCCAGTTCCAAGAGCACCGGCGCCTCTCCGGCCTCTCCAGCGTGTTTGTGTCTGTGGTAGTGAGTGACACCGATCAGCAGAGCAAGGAGGGTGGGCGAGGTAGAAAGCCCTGGCTGCCTAGCAAAGGACAATGGCAGGGTGGGACCTTGCCCCCAGGTGACCTTTCCTCCCCTAGCAGATCACTGGTCATGCAGTCAGGACCACTGACCTTTCCTCCCTAGAGATAACTTCTAGGCCTCAGTTGTACATCAACTCCAAGCCCAGAGAAGCAGCAAAACCAGACAAGCGACACCAAGGCTGAGCTCATGACCAGTTGCATTAGATAATGACCCCTGCCCTGGCACCCACCAATCAATCAGTGGAGACCTAGGCGCTGAAAGGACACACCTTTAAGATCTTCCCCTGAGATGGGACCTCCCCTAAAATCTCAACCCTTAAAACCCTTAGAAAGGAAGACCCAGTGCCTCTCCCTCCCAGGAGCAGCTGGCTCCTTTCCCTTCCCCCAGGCTCGTTACCATTTCCTTCCTCACTCCCAAGCTCCAAGGGCCCTTCCTTACCTCTATAACTTGTTTCCTAAACCCATTTCTTATACAAATTACTTCTTTTACCTCTTTTCCAAATAAATGTTCTCTTATAGTTTGAGTCATGGCTCTGAATTCTTTCCTAGGCAGGTCCAACACCTGGTGCCGTCCCAGTGCCCACAACATATCCGCCCAACCCTCCACTCGCCAAATTGTCAAGACATGTATGATTTAAGGATTTTGCTGCTAATCATTACAGAGAAATAACAAACTTGGGGGTAAGTCAGAGGCTTGCCGAGTTATTAGGATGTTCCTGGTCAATAGCTTAAGATCCTCTCTGAGATTATAACAGTCAGGGGCAAAAATAGAATATTTGGGGACCAGCTATAGTTTGGGGAAATAATAATGCTCTGTTAACCACGTTTGCCTTGTGTTGGTTAAAGAAAGGACATTCTAACCTGGCTAGAAGTTGTATGTCTCTGGGACCTGGGAGTCAACCTTGGAATGTGGTCCAGTCTTATTCAAGAACTATTATCATAGGAAGATTAACAACCTTGTAGCCCAAACAATGGAGTCCCACCCCAGCCCACACTGCCTACTTCCCCATGCAATCTTTGTCCTACCCTATATAAGCAACGGCTTATGAGGGGAGGCCACATAGCAGACTTTTGTGGATGATGTGCTGCTCTCACATTGGTGGCAGTATTAGAATAAACACTCATATATGATT